GAAGGGTCCTCAGAAAATCTCGTTTCTGTCATGGCCATGCTAATAGGTACTTTAAGGGGGTGTTGGGCTGAGAATGCACAAACCGAGTAACACTCAGCATGGTCATGATCGGAGCCTCATCCTCTGTGCACATTTAATCACAATTGCCCCAGTAGGCTAGTACTTAGTAGTCTGGACAAGGGCTGAAGGTCTGCCAAGTGTACCACTACTGTTGGTAACCACCTCCGGTAAGCGGTAGAATAGCGCCTGCCATGCTTACGAGGTAAGGGATCCCTTGGGCGGTCTGAAACAGTAAAATTTGTTGCCAGGTGGATGAGTGACTTCGCCATTGTGGTCAAGTCACTCGGCCACCTGCAGGGTTCTCACCTCTACCAATGAGAGCTCAATTAAAACTGTGGACAAGTCACTCAGCCCCCCGGCAACGAATTTGACTGTTTCACACCGTCCAAGGGATAGTCTTGAGGCTGCTCTTGTAGCGTGAGGGATTGCACTCTGCGACTGCTGTGCCAGCGGCCACTCCCACTCATTATCTGGCACTGTATTTTGTGTCACCGATAATAGAATCTCTGAAATGGCTCAAACACTAAACTTTTTATGGCTCCGAGGGGACTATTCCAAAAGAGGTGCCAATTCTTGGCTCGGAGGCACGAGTACTCGTATCCCTCGCCCAAGCAGTGAGCCCGCCAGTTAGCACTCGCCTCAACAAACCTTATCAATTTACCCGAACCAACGTACCCTACCGCCCCGTGCTCAGGATGCAGCGGCCGCCGCCGCCACATGCACTGTACGAGTACGTCCTCCCTCTAACATTCGGTGGAAGTGAGATATGGGATATCGGAGTGATTGGATGGGTAGAAAGCAATACTATACATATTGAGTACTCGCACGCGGATTACCTACCGCTGACTGCCGTTCTTTCTTTCCAGCTCCATTCCCCCCCATTCGATAACGACCTCCTAGAAATCACCCTACCGCTGCTGCCCCGCCCCAATATCAAAAACCCTGATCTCATAACGAACCTAACCAGCGAATCATCCTCGCACCTCTCAATCTGCTCGTAGATACCGAGTACAGCACCGCGCGAGTGCCCACTAATGCACTCTGCAGGTAGTGAACGCTATGGGATACTCGATGCGTGCCTGACAATCAGCAGGGCTAGGGGAGTTTTCTGAACTAACAAACAGCCGGAAAATTCCTCGCTGCAATCCTGTCTGTCCCTGGGAGATACGTACTTCCCTGACCATCGGACACCCGAACAGCGCTCGAGCGAAGCGCACCACAGCATAGCCCTGCGCTGAGCTCGACCGCGCTGGACATTGCAATTCGACACACGGGAGGAAGGAGGGGGGGCGGAAAAAAGTAAGGAGAAAACTTTGATCTCTGAATGTCGTGATTCTAAAGGCTCTCTCTGAACCAAGGTACAGTATAATACGAGTACTCGAGTATAGTACATGCTCGACCCAGGGGCACAGGTGGCTAGCAACCCACAATTAACTACCGGCATGCGGTATGGCACACCGCCAACCGGAATCCATGACTTGGCTCCAAAACAATGCCCCTCCCCCCCACCGCACCGGCATGCCATGAAGACTGAAAGCCCTCCCCCTACCCCGGCGACCCCTCAATTTATTACGGAACCTATGCCTCGTGATTTTTCAACACAAAACCCTTAAATGGACATCGCCCGACCCTACCCCTACTGAAGGAACACTAGATTTTGATTGCCGTAGTGCTGGTGCATAAAATTGATCTTGTTGCTGGCGAGGAATCTGGCTAAAGTACGGTATCTGCACTACGCCAGGAGATGGGCTCTCGGTTACCGGACGGGGGCGGGGGCGGGGGCAGCCGTCAATTGCCAGAGGATCTTTTGTTTGTGCGGACATGTGGCTGGTCGTCGGGAAACGGCCGATGCTGAAATTTGGGCACTAACTTATCAAAAAAACATCGTGAGATTCGAGATGTGGATTAAAGTATCAGCAAAGCCTAACAACAATGGATGCCGCCCCACGCTGAATAGAGGCAGGGGGCTCGGTGTATCAGTCCTTGCGCATACCTGTGCGGCACTCCCCACTCTTCTCACCCCATTATCGCTCAATGGCTTCTTTCTTTACCACACACATACACACACACTCTCTCTCCTTCTCTCCTTCTCTCCGCAAGAAACATCAAGTCCCACTGCGCAGTACATACCCCACCAACGAACACATCCTAAGAGGAATAACACCCAGGAAAGTACTCCACAGCATTCCCTACCGCCAGAACCTTTCCTCTACTACAAGTGATACCTAGTCATCCACAACCTACTATGCCCATTGACAATCGCCCACCCAATAGCACCCTGGGAAGCCATAATACGAGCGCCACATTCACTCCCCTACCATACTCACGGGGACCTAATAATGGCCCACCATTACCCTGGGGCATCTTCAGACCCGAAAAAGAACGAGACCGTTACATAACGCAACTCCCACCAGCCACCCAAGTCACCAAACCAATTTGCAAACACTTTCCTCCTATACCACACTATACTATGCTACGGCACACGACGTTCGACACTCCCACCATACAGTACCAGCTCCAAATCCCAATACCCCCCCAACTCCAATAGAAACTTTTACGCAGGATGTATGCAGATTCCCCTTTCGCCGCCATACCACCCGCATCTTTCACAGCACAGTACAAACCCCAGACAACAATCCACGAGTATATGAATACCCCGCTGTGACCCCCACCACGAACGGGAGCAAATAAATCCCGAGAAATTTGACCGCCGTAACTTTCCATCCATCCATCCACCCAACTGTGTACTGTGCATGGAATCTTTTAATGGTGATTATCTCCGTAGTATCAGAAAGCATGATACCATCATCATCAATTTTTCCGCAGAAACTATAAAGGGTATGTATATACATAATTATTATGATGAAAGTGCCGCTCGGTCGGTCGGCCCGTCAAACTCACGGGATCGGATCCTGGCGTCGTACGGTACGAAACCCGAGTAGATCTGCCGTACTTACTTGCCAAAAACGCCGGTACGATACGGTATGATATGTGGGACGGTTGCGGATCTGAGGTCTCCTGACGGATGGGGGTTGTCCGGCGTTGTGCATGATATATCCACGTCTACTGGTGTGGTATGATACAGTACGGTGCTCGAGCTAAAAAAAAATCATAATCACAATCACCACGCTGATGCTCCCGTACATGGCTGGTTCCCGGCCCGTCCCGTCCTGGTTCCTCCAAAACCAAGGGTCAAGTCTGGGCGCCGTCACAATGTCTATCGTGCCTGTCACTCTCTTCCCCCTCCGTATACCGGTACGCTAGGCTTGGCACTAGCAGTCCTCCGGCTCGGGCCCGGGTGTCTCGGAGTAGGACACGCTACCGCTATATTGCAGGAGTGCACGGGTTGACCTTAGACTACCGTAATTTAGGGTGCCGTGCCTATGGGGCCCGGTTGTTCACAAAAATCTGTAGAAATCACCTTCCCATTTTTCCCTACTGACACGCTCGAGTACCGGCAGATCATCCTCCATGTCCATGGTGGAGGAATGGGGCTCTGTGTGAGTGAGTGAGCGGGAGGTGCGTGTTTTGACAGTATAATATAATAAGTACGATATTGGTGTGAGAAAGAGAGAAAGGAAGGAGGGCAAAGTATCATATCATAGAAATACCAAAGTCTTCAAAGCGCAAAGAGTATATACAGGAGAAGAGAAGAAAAGAGGGGAGACACGGGAAATACATCAACTAAAAAGGCAAGGGAAAAACTGTGCACATCCCACACACACAAGCAATCAATCAACTGTCTCCGAACAGGTCTGTCTGTTTGTCCAACCCAGGAAAACGTTTCCCAATCACGCTTGCACCAGACGTTTGGACCCCTCACGCTCATCTCAAGCACTGCCTGAGTAATATGAATATGATAACAACAGCGGTGGAAGGAGACGAGGCAAACATCAAATTGGTCCCCTTTCTTTTCTTCCCCCGAGCCTCATTCTTTGCTTTTTGCTTTTGCCCCATCACACTCGCCCGCCTCAAATCTCAACGAAGAAAAAGAAACCGAAGAGGGAAATTCAATCAATCTGCAAATTCTCTTCTCACCTCTCTGCTTCCCGATTCAATTCAATCCACCCCCCGTCCGTAAGAATTTGAAAGAAAAGAAAAAACTAAACTCCACAACCTCAATTAACAAGTCGTATAAAAAGCACGATCCCAACTTTCACTAAAAAATACAGATAAAGTTCTCTCAATTCTCCACTCCGTTCAATCCATCCCGAATATCCATTTGCTTGTAATCCTCCTCTTCCCAAACACATCCCATGTCATCACCAGAGTTAAGTAACTAAGGGAGAGAGAAAAGCGAAAAACCAACTGCCTCAATCATATTTCTCGTCCGTATTGAAAAATTCCCCGAGGATTTCCATTTGTCCCTGGTACCTCACCCTCTCTCGGATCCCATCTCCAGACTAAAAGGAAAAAAAAGAGTTGTTAAAAGAAAAGAGAAAAAAAATAGTGAAACAAAAATATTGTCCCCCATTTCCAAAAAAGAAAAAAAAAGAAATCAGCTACTGTCCATCCCGAACACTTAATTCATAACATACGAGTTTTCAAACACCAATAGTAAAAGCGCAAACAGGAATAACGTCAGGGAGTATAAAAGACAACATGGGAAAATAGCGAAACAACCAGTGAAGGGAGCGGCCCGATAAGACCAAAAGCAAATGAATTAACCCCAAGTAATTAGGCCACGCTTAAAACTGGGCACTATTTCTCTTCGTGGCGGAGCTGAAGACCAATCTGGGAGCTTTCAACCCTCCAGATTCTTTGCTCTCAGTTTGCTTCGTGCCAAAGCTCTCATCGCCGCTAACGCTAGACGCACTATAATCTTGTGGAGAATCACCACCACGAATGCTTGCACGGCTCGCACGTCCAGAGAGGGATGAAGAGACACTTTCAGCATCCTCAAGCCCAGAACCCTCGTTTTCCGAGACAGGGGTCATAGTGCCACCAATGGAACTAGAAGCAGACCTAGCAGTCCTTCTCTCCATCCCTGCGGTAACCAACTTGAAGACGGCCCGTCGGCGCTGTCTAGTTGCAAAGTTCTTGCTTCCTCCATCTTTGTTTGTTGGCTTAGCCTTCAACTCTTCGATAGCCGGAGGACCGCGGGGCTGGCGAATAGGGTGAGATCCACTAGCATGCCCTGGGGCAAAGGTTGCCGTCATCGGTGTAGTGGGCATTATCTTAGGGAGTGAGGTCTTTGGAGGCTCCGCGATATCCAAGTTGCTCACATTCACACAGGTGGACAATGAGCTAGCCTTTCTATGACCGCGCTTGAAACCGCTCGAGTTAGTCGGTTGGTTAAGTGTGAGCTTTGGTGGTGATCTGGAACGACCCGAACGTCCAGCAGAAGCATTTAACGTGGGTGATTGCTTCTCCGGAAGCTGTGCCTGTTGTTGTTGTTGCTGCTGTTGCTGTTGGTGGGGCTGATAAACCGGCGAGTTATTCTCAGGTTGAGCAGAAGTAGGAGGGGATTGTTGCTGCTGCTGCTGTTGCTGGAATTGCTGCAGGTAATCCACCGAGACCTGAGGCTGTGCGTAGTATCCATAAATGTTATTGTAGATAGGATAGTATCTACCAGCATTCATGTTGGCAGCATTTGCGGATTGCTGCATGTACGAGCCCATACCACCGGGGCTCATAGGGGGAGTTGAAAAGTTGCCGGATCCAGAAGACTGGAGCTGAAGCTGCTGTAATTGAAGAAGTTGTACTTGATGAGCAGAATTGGCCAACTGAGCCTGGAGCTCAGCCTGCTTCTGAGCGAGGATGAAATTGGTCGCGAGCAATTGCTGATACCTCCCATTATCGGTTTCGTCAGACAGCTCGAACATTTCACCATTCAAGCCGAGTGCGGGGGAAGATGACGGAGGGGTAGGCAACTGTTGAGAGGTCGCAGAATAGGAAGCGCCCTGGGAACTCTGGTATCCTTGGTAGCGGTTGGGGGACTGGCTAGAACGGGCACTTTGCGGAGCAAAACCGGACGATCCAGGCAGGTTATACTTGGATTCGAGACCGCCTTCTGCGGGAGGAGCAGAAGTAGGGGTTGGGTTCGGGGTCCTTGGTGCAGTCCGAAGTCCAGCCAACAAGGCAGACCTTGCTGTGCGAGGGGTAGTGACCGTCTTATTGTCTGCGGGGGCAGAGAGGTTGTTGGAAGGAACTGGCACAGAGATGTTCCTCAGGTGCGAACCCTTTCCTCTGGAGGCGAAGGATGCCGGGTTCCCCTGTTGGTGGAAATAATTAATTTGAGCAAGACCGCCTGCGTCCATACTCATGGTGTCTAGCTTTTATTGAGGGATAGTAAGGACGGTAAAACCACTCGTCGAAAATGGCAGATTAGAAAATAAAAGACGATCCGACGATATGTCGTGAGGTCTCAGTTAACGGTCCCAGAATGTCGAATGGGATGGAAAAAAGAAAATGGAAAAAAGAAAATGCTCGACAGAGAAAACGAGTCGATGACCAAGTGCAGAAGGAGAGTTAGAGTAGTCGTTGAAGGAAAGAGAAGGAGGGAAAATTGCTCCGCGGTTGGGTTTTTCAGTTGGGCCAGACGGCTGTGGAACCAGATCCTTCTATAAGCCGATTGAAGTCCTTGTGGGGTAAAAACGGCAAGGGGGAAGATGGCTGGAGCACAAGGCTGGTGGGACCGAAGATGAAAAAAAAAAATAGCTGACACCGACTTGGAGTAGGGGGTGTGCGTGGGCGATGCGGGCCGGAATAAAGACGGGCGGTAAACAGATGACGACCGACTCCTTTGACGGTAGGGGACGGAACCTTCTTGAGAAGTACAGAAGCGATGATGTACGGGAAGTGCTCAGCACAAAAAGGGGAGAAAGACAAACACCCCGACAGCAGGACAGACTGAGTAGTAGTAAAATAGGGGATGGGAGAAAGCTGACAAGCAAGAAGGCGAAGAAGGAATTGCTCTGGGTTGCGGGATGCAGAGGGGGGGGAGCCGGTGGGGAAAGAGAATTACTACTACTGCTGCTGCTGTTACCACTGCGAAAGAAGGTAGAAGGGGTGGCGGGGGGAGAGGAGGGGAAGAGAGCGGAGACCGAGGGAAGGGAGTGTGGAGTTGTGGAGAGGAGTCAAAAGGAACGAGGAAGGGAAGGGAGAAGAAAGAAGAGGAGCGGAGAGGGAGAGGGACTCTGAGGGAGAAGGGGGAAGGGCAGGAGAAAGGGAGTAGAAAAAGCAAAATGGGGGGAAAGAGAGCAACAGCAGGCGGCACTTGCTGCTTACAGTTTCGCCAACGGGCCACCGCCATGAGCGACGAGAACCAACAGCAAGTGAAGAAGCCAATGACAAGGAAAGGGAGGCTGATGCTTTGTGCTCTTCCCTTCTTGATCAAGTATTTCCTCAACCCTTCTCCCTCCATTCCCCTCCTCATTCAAGGAGGAAAATGTACCGGTAGTGTACGAGTACCTAGACCTTCTCTCTCTTCCCTACCCCGGATGGTTGGCAGGGAGGGTTTCTTGAGTTATGCCTTCTGGCACTGATTTTCAGTCAATCTTCAATGATTGGCCGCCGTAGACTCTTGATTTCTAGGATATTCACTCCCCTCCACCCCCTCGCTCATCATCCATCTACAGACACGCATAGACATATTTGGTTGCCTACATACTTGCGCTGTACACTACCCACACATCAGGTAGAAATATAACCAATACACGCTGCTCATGCCCTTTGATCGAAGAAACTTGGTTATCCAAGATCGCGAGGCATTCTCTTCCTCTCACCCCTCTCACTCACTTTTCTCAGGATTCCTTCACTCTCGTCTCTATCTCTTTCAACAGATGGGGGACATGGTGGGCTGAGAAAGGAAAAAAAGTAAACTTACGCTGCTCCAGCCCTGTCCGCTTGTTGCCCATAACAATGCAACAAAGGCCGGAATCGAGCACAGGGAAAGTGAAGTGAACAGAAAGCGCGTTGCAGGAATCTCCGAAAACCAAAAATCTTTGTAAAGGGTTACTCCACGAGTACTCGTACAAGTGCCCCTGTGTTTTCCCTTTCCCTCCCCTTCCCCACCACAAGTAAGAGCACGGCAAAGCATCCTATGGAATGGGGAAGGGGGGGGGGACCATTTTCCGCGATATCGTATCGAATTAACCCATCCCCTCCCCTTTTTGTCCAAATATGGCAATGCCCTAACCTCAAGCTTACCCCCGCGCTAACCTCAGCGGCCTCTTGAAATTCCCTGCGAACCTTTTTGGGGATCCTGGGGAGCCCAGATCGGTCGGTTCATCAGGGCGTTTCCCGGACTGGACTTGGTTCTGATGCGGGAAAACGGACTTTATAATAGGGAGAAGGAGAGAAGAGCGTTGAAATCCCGAAGAGAGCACTCTTTCTCTTTCAGGAGCTGGTGGAGGACTCGAGCCGGCCCTTGGTCGCCCTGCTGCTCACATGTCGCGACACATCTCACTCCATGAACAGAGTTGAGACAAGACGGCGCAGGGTCAGGGGAAGGAATCAATCCCTTCCCCCTTCGCTAAATTCCGGTACGATACTCGAGTACTCTACCGGTGGGTTGACCACCCGAAATAGCTCTACTCTCACGGCACAGAATGAACTCCGGACACCGGAACCGTGCGATACCACCCCCCCTCCCCTCGCCTTCTTCTCTAAATTATCCATCTCGCGACGTCTCAAACACTCCACGGTATTTGTTTTGCCCGAGCCCGTGGGGAAGGGCATGGGAAACTGTGCTCGTATGGTACCGGTAGTTCCATACAATGTTACCTTCTGCCTGAACCACAACTCTGAGTAACTGCAAGTCCGTGACTGCGGGCTCTGGAAAACGAATAAGTTCGGTTTGGACGGACTTATTTATTATGGTGCCGTAGCTAGTTTTGTTTACAGCTTTGTCGTTAACTTTACGACGGTTTCCCCCAATTCGTAAAAACCTGTTGATCCTTCCCACCCACCCCCCATGTTTTTTTTTTACCATGACCTGACTCCGGCTCCCAGTTGCTTTACCGAAAAAGAAAAGAAAGAAGTATAGAAATGATACAAGTACGGTATACGAAAAGCCATTGCTTACAGGCTATCCAGTCAGAGAAGGGCACGCGTGAACCTCGTCATTCGCCCTGCCTTCTTCTCATCAAATCTCTATTTCCGCTTTTCTATCGCTGCTCACTTGTCCTCCACCTCTACTACGATCCCTCACAAACGCGTCAATTTACGCGGTCACACCGGGCTGATTTCCTCTTCCTCCTCCTCTTTAGGTAAGCCAAGCGCCTCTCTCAGGGCATCGTTCTCGACCTTTAATCCTTCAATAAGAATTTCCGGCTCCAAAGCCGTATCCTGCTCATATGCTTCCCTGAGCATCTTGCTGATCCTTGTTAATCGCGCCTGGCTCTCGGTCTCGTTCTGACGTAGGACCGCGTTCGCTTGCCGTTCACTTGCGAGCTGGTTCGTGTATGTTTGATGGATATTGATTGTGGAAACAGTGTTCTCGTGCTATAAAGGCGGTCAGAAACCGGGATAGGGAACAACCCCCCCGGGGAGTGGCAGCAGATAGCGATGAGCTAGACTCACAGCGTAGACCCTCAGACCTTCTAGGACTTTGTCCAGTACCGTCTCGTAGTCCTGAACCAGTAGTGAAAGATCCTCGTTTTCTGTTTGGAGATTGTGGTTTTCCTGACGCAGCGCACGGTTTTCCGCTTCAAAATCGACATCGTGAGTGCCTACATATGAAGAGCGATCAACTCAGCACAACCGTAAATACCCCGCCCCTCGATTCCCCACGCTCACTAACCATTTGCTTCGCCGTTGGATTCTCGCAGATGTGGTAGTGCCTCCCCTGGGTTTGTTCGACTCTTATAGATCAGGGCAATCATCAGTAAATACCTCCCGGTAACAGCGAAAGGGCTTCCCCCCCCCTTTATCCTAGGTTAAGATGTGACATACTCGGATCTCATCAGCCCTTCTGACTAACCCAGCTGTACTCTCTCTGTTCTGCGCCAGGATCGCACTAAGCTCCTGAACCTGCTGCCATAGATGATTAAGGTCCATTTGGTGCCCGGCGGTGGGGAACATGTTGACCATGCCTGCCTGTTGTTGCTGTTGCTGCTGCTGTTGTTGCTGCTGCTGCTGCTGCTGCTGTAATAGATGGCCAGAAAGCGAGCCAGCACTATCGCGACGCCCAATAATGCTGATACCACTATTCGAGAAGAGCGGAGTATTGTTGTTGCTGTGGCTGCTCTCTTGATAATTGGATGGCAACATTCACAGTGCCGTAGTTCCCGCCTTCAAACGAGATGCTCCTTCTTCTCCAGTGAAAATCCGCGGGGAGGAGAGAGGAAGAATACGAGAGTGGGAGGTACCCGTGTTGACCGATCGGATTGGTGGGAGCCGCGGATGGAGGTTGTCGTCAAAGGAGATAGAGAGGAGAGAGAAAAACAAACAGGTGACGAATGGGATGAAATTTTTTTTCTTTTTTCCCAGAGGATTTCCTGTCTACAGTTCGCTCGATTGAAGGTTTGTTGAGCTGTCGACCCTGAAGTTCCAACAGGCGCCGCTTGTGAGAATTGCATGCTTGGTGGCTTTTGCCAAGCCCTTGCCAACTGGTATTTGATTGGCGGTTTTGACATCACGTTTCTGTGCTTGTGGCGAGCAAGGGTTAAAGCTTTGCATAAGCGCCCATGCTCTGGCACATTCCCAGCAACAAGAGAAAGACAAGCACTGCACTGCATGCTTTTAAATGAGCTAAATTTACCGGCCCTCATAGCAATCCGGGACGATACCTCGATAAGCTTCACTACCTGTATCTAACTTTGTTCCTCCAAGTATAGCCGCATCACGGGAACGCCCCCCGCTCCCCTCTTCCAGGCGCAGGTGTTGCGGGAGAAGATAGGCAGCCATTGGATCGAACACTCCTTGTCACTGAACCCGTGCAGGGGAGGGAAGAAGGGAAGATCTGTTGTGAAAAATAATAAGCGGCGGTTGTAGTATCACACTTCACGCTCAAGTGCGATGCTCTAACAACCAAACTTCCCCGGCCCCGAGCGACAACGAGTAAAACCTGGGAAACAACGCACCATAAAAATATTTTTGGCAAACAGTTATCTGAAACAGAACAATGTCGGACTTTTCGTTCCGCGAATTGGGTAAATATTTTATCTTTATCCGTCCGTGAGAGTTTCAGTCTTGAGACGGGCTGGCTTTTTCGAGCGGGGGACTCTTTCCGTATGGTTTGGCCAAGTCGGGTATGCTTGCTCGGGGAAGTACCGGTACCGTAGCCTGAGTAGACGTCAAGCCAGGCCAGTTGTGCTTTTGGGGATCGTCGGGGGGATCTGGTCGATACATGTAACATGCCGGCAACTAGTTTGGCACTCGGCGGCGTAGTTGGTTGGCTCTTGGCTTTGGGAATATCTCCGATGGGTTTAACGGCAGATCTTGACTAACAGTAGACTACCGACACCTGACAAAACAAGAGGTGGGGATCGCCCCTCAACCCCTGAGCAGCCCCGCTCAAGGTTGAACAACGTCCACTACGGGAGAGACAACGAGAGTTCTCCCGAGGAATTTCATATAAGCCCATTCTGCGGGAATTGGAGATGGTACTGTAGAGCAGAAGCGAGGCACAAATTCCGGCTTTTTGTGGTGATTGGGGGCCCACTTGGGTCTGTGGGACAATTCACACCTTCTGATTCGGCCAGTACCGGTGCTTGTGGACTGCTCAACATCTGCTGCAGTGCCTGTCGCTCGCAATCTATTCAACCTATCGTGTTAACAAAGCCTGAGTCCGAGGTTGTGCAATCGCCTCAATCCAATACCGCCCCACATGCTGAGAAACATCAATATCTGAGAGCTACTGGCATCCCACCGGTAGGCTGAATCCGAGCATGTGCCGTGAATTGAAGTGACCTACGGTGTGTAGTATGGTGCCGGTATGCGCACACGAGTCCCCCTCAAGCCCCTTGATCGACCATTGCGAACAAAACGAATCTATCATTATGATTATATTTGGCCCCACCAGAAAAGAAAACCTGAACTCCTTACACGCACGGATTATGACAGAAGGCGGGAAATGATGGGTAGGAACAAAATGGATAACAGCGATGGCAGAGCCGCCAGTAGTGCTAACGAAGAAAGAGTTATGGAAAATTAGCTTGCTAGCTCAAGTATCTTCCTTAGCTGATCCTCCACGCTTTCCTCCATTTCATCATCGTCCTCATCCATTCGGTCCGTGTCCGGAAATTTAGACTTCTCGATCTGATATGCCAGCTTAGCGGCGAGAAGCCTGGTTCGCTCCAACTCTGCTGCTAACGGGCCATCCTTGGTGACAAGATTTGGCTGCACCGACCGCTGGGGGTCCGCAAAAGGCGCTACCAAGGACTTTAGTTGGGAGTAATACGCATGCCTTTGACGCTGGGCCTGAAGCGCAGCTGAGTGATTGGCTAGCTTCGCCCTTAAGGTTTGATACCTTGTCCTGGTTAGCTACGCTCTGCTGTAAACTCCAGGTTCCGGTATGCATACTCTTCCAAGTCCTCTTCACTATCCCCTCCCTCTGCCGGGTAGCTTTCCGGGAGAAGATCGATACTTCTACAGGGCGGATTAGCGATGCTATATAAACCTGAATCTTATGGGCGGAGTCGACTACTTACTGAGGATCCTTAAGATTCGCTCCCCTCCTCAGGACATCGTCTTCCTGTGTGATACCCTCCACGTCGTCGTCTTTTTTCTGGTACAAATCGTCAATCTGTTCAGCAACATGCCTCAAGGCCTGTGAACTGTAGACAAGTTTCTGATGCCTCTTAGCGACAACGTTCACTGAAGGCCTCATGTATTAGCCAGCATTCGGGTTCTCGTGGACTCCGCGACAGAGGGAGCGCCAAGGGTAAACGGTGGAACCTACGTTTGTATAAAACTTGATTCAAAACTCCCTCGGAAAGGTCACCATGCTCCCCTTCCGGCAGCCTGTCTTGCCAATTCGGCTTCGGGTTGAGGGCACCATTTAAAACCCGCAGTTGGGATGAAAGAAACCCCCCCTTTATATCGTAGATAGAGTTCCCGGTGGCCATATTTTGTTGGAGGTGGGTTTATGGAGGGGGGGTGTATTCTACCTCCGTACCTAGTGAACAACAGTGTCGTGGATGCCCCTTTGCGGGTTTTTACCTGAGGTGGTCGATGGCGATCCCTATCCTGCGACGTGGAATCGCTGGGAGACGCGTTGGGCACAGTTTGTTGTTCACCCTGCTTGGCTTTTTCCTAGCAGCGGTTTTCACAGTGGCCGTTGCACACTCCGAGAATATTTTACGGCGCGAAATGTTTTCTTGGGCAACGACTGTCTCCTCTGCTCGTATGGATTCCGCGAAGGGTGTTTGTTTCCCTGGCTTGGATTCACAATAATAGAGTCGATCGCTGCGTATACCATGGAGACCTAATGGATGACGCTTAACATACCCATAACTCAGAGTCATTTGATGCCCCCGGGTCATAGCCGGAGCCCCGATGCGGCTCGTACCTCTCTCTCCTCTCTCTTCCGGCCTCGCTCTCTCGAGGCGACAACCCCAACCCCCCAAACCTCCGCAACCCCCGGCGATCCATCCCCAAGAACCTCTACACACCCGCAACCACTGATCGACATCGCTGTCCTGTTGAGGCCACTATTATCGAGCCTCTGTTTACTTCTATCGACGTCGCTCAGCTTTCGCTCCTCTTGAACAGCTGCTTTGTCAAACGTCACGTCATCTGTTCCTCGAACCAGACAACTGCCTCTACTCGCTTCATAACCGCCGAAATTAAGCCATGGCTACAAAGAAGAAGATTCTTTTGAAGGTATTCTACTCTCCGGGATGTGTTATCTCCTGCGGGAACTGACAACCCAATCTTCAGGTTATTATCCTTGGAGATAGTGGAGTTGGAAAGACGTCTTTGATGAACCAATATGTACAGTACCCCTCACCCCCATATGCGCGGTGCGCCCTCTGTCGTCCATACCACAGGGATCTGAGTATTTGGATTCCTGGAGGAGCTATGATGCTGACAAGTTGGGTGAATAGGTGAACAAGAAGTTCAGTGCGAGCTACAAAGCGACTATTGGTGCTGATTTCTTGACAAAGGAAGTGCTTGTTGACGATAGGCTTGTGACTATGCAGGTACGAGGGTCATGCTGCTGAGCGCTTGAGGGCCATTGCTTTGATTTCGGGATATGCGCTAACACATATTTTTGTGGCAATAGTTGTGGGATACCGCTGGTCAGGAAAGATTTCAATCCCTTGGCGTCGCTTTCTACCGTGGTGCCGATTGCTGTGTTCTTGTCTATGATGTCAACAACTCGAAATCGTTCGATACCCTCGACTCCTGGCGGGACGAATTTTTGATACAAGCATCTCCCAGAGATCCGGATTCGTTTCCCTTTGTAGGCTGCTCACTTCCCTGCCTCTTTAGCGGGATTTGGTAGTCCCTGGATTCTAACGTGAACTTATAGGTTGTTTTAGGGAACAAGATTGATGTAGAGGAGAGCAAGAGAATGGTTTGTTTCCCGTGTCCGGTTTATCATTCGCCTGGTTCCGGCACCTGGCTTAGTTAACCCTCTGCAGATTTCCCAAAGACGTGCTATGGCTTTCTGTACATCCAAAGGAGGCATCCCCTACTTTGAGACCTCTGCAAAGGAGGCTATAAATGTTGAGCAAGCATTTGAAGGTAACGAGTCCCAAGAACCAAAATTTCGTCTGAACGTGAGCTTTCTGACTCGCAATATCCAGTAATTGCCCGAAACGCTCTGCAGCAGGAAGAATCCGACGACTTCACCGGAGACTTTCAAGACCCAATCAACATCCACCTCGACAATGAACAGAGTGGATGTGCTTGCTAGAGGGAGGGAGGGAGAGGGAAAGCATAGAGAAAGAAAGAAAGAACCCACTGTCACGATTCTATATGCAATATCCGGGTAGATCCTAGAACATATGGGCGGTAATGAGTGTCATGTACGTTGTGACCAGTCACCCAAACCCCCACTCTCAATATATCTGAAGGGTGTGAGGGGGGTCACATTGGTATGTCGTAACCTTTTGCCTTTATATTGCGTGGGGTATTGGCTTCTTTAAAGATGGGCTGGTGGCGGAGAATGATTGGTATTTCTTTTTACCATGAGGGCAAATGGATGGACCACTAGCGGCTAGCCGCTTTTTGCCCCATGTCTTTGTCTCTGTCTGTTTTGTCTTCTTTTCTTCGGATTACATCATCGAAGGTTATCCATGCTTTGCTATGCCGTTGGTTTCTTTTCTTTTCTTTTTTTCTTTTTTCTTTCGGTGTTTGCTTTCTTTCCCTCCCTTCTTGCTCTATGCTTCATCATTGGCCCCCCTAAGTTATAGTCTATACATATAAACCGTATCTATTGCCGTTCCGCATCGTACCTTTTATTAAAGTCTTTCACTTTGATTGCCTGGACCGGGTTTCTTGATAAGTCGTTTTGATATCGTGGGAGGAAGGAGGGAATATACTGCCGGGTCTGGCTTGTGGTAGATCTCCTGTTTGTTGTGCGGGCACACAGCGCACGATACTTTATGTTGGAGTGTTCTTTGAATTGTGGAGACGGGTGGGGGTGCTGCCCTGTGTCACCCTGCCACCGGTATGTGATTGTGATGTGAATCTTGCGAAGTCTGGGCGGGCTCTATCGAGGATTACTGACCTCGAGTGATGGTTTGTGAACGGGTTGGTCATTTCAGGGGAGGGGGGGGGGCTAATACATGACAGACTGGCCCGGTTTAGCTCCTGGAAACCGGATCACCGGGCGCTAGGTTTAACCCATCAGTGGGGGTTGTATTTGTTCCCGGGGGTGCGTGGACGCGTGAAGTACGATAGTTCGGATGGGTTCGTGTCTCTTTGGTACCACCTTCATGTCTTTCTAAGTTCGTCGAGTTGAAGTATCATGCCGCGCTTTTAGTCGGGGCCCTTGCCCAGGCGGTGGCCATCATTCATATCGTACCGAACCTTTCTGGTGATGGCCAACTTTGCTGTGTTAAATGCTCGACATCGTGATGTTGGGTGGTCTTCACCACCTCATTCCGTAATACCGACGTATGATAGCCACTGCAGTTGTAATAGTATGTCTTTATCTTGTCAATTAGATCGGTGTGTTGTCCTTCTATACCGGTAATAGCCTCCTGGCCCTGGGGGG